CATCTTTGCTTTAGCTGCTCTCTCCCTGAAGCAAGACCCACCATCCTGCCTACCTTTTTACCAGGCCATCTCCCATGTCAGCATTTAAATGGAGTGTTGAACTTGACAGAGTTGCCCAGGGGAGGATGCATGAGGATGTCTCTGTGGAGCTGATTTACCTGCTAGGGGTCAGTGTGGCAGACAAGGAGAGAGAAGCGTCCCAGCAAACTCCTTGTCTATCATTTGGGTGGCCTTGCCTGTGGGAGGGCACAGGCAACCAAACCTGGTGCCCCCAGGGGAAAGCTTGGGTTTGTCACTCATTGGTCAAATAGAGGGGATGTTACAGCGAGGACTCACCATCAACATGTTGATGTAAATCTTGTCTCAGGACAGCAACAGTCAAACCTCCAAGGGAACATGGAGGTTTGGAGCTCTCTGGTGCATGTGGGGTGTGAGATAGGAACAGCAGTTGACAACCATGTGCTGCCAAAGTTCATGGGGCATTAGCACTGAGATGCTGGCAATGGACTGGAAGACAGGGCACCCCATTTCGAGTGGAGCAGTGGGGCTCTGGAGCTACAGAGATTGGCACAGTCCTTGCCTTGTCATGCTGAAGGCTGTCTCTGCCTGCTGGAGGGCCCAGAAGGAAGGGGACTGGGAGAGAGCAGGTGTCCTGGAGCAGCAGGCAAGCTTCTGTCCCCTGGGTGCCCCAGCCAAAGCTGCTAGCAAAGGTGTCTGAAGTGGCCTGAAGGGAACATTCACAGTGTCTGGTGGTGATGCTGTTTTGTGGGGTTTCTCCTGGCAAAGTGACTGACTGGGGCCATGTGAAAAGAAGAGTTGAAAAATAAAACCACTGCCCAAACTTCTACCTGGGCAGAGACAGGGAAGAGCAACAGCTCCAGCGAAGGGGCTTGCATTTGGGCAGTGTAAAGTGGTGAGGCTGAGGAATGGGCTGGGGCACTTGTGCTCTGGAAGGGACCAGTGGTGTTTTTTTCTGAGCAAGGTACAGGGCTTGTTGGCTGGCAGGTCCCCAGCTGGGGTAGTTACAGTCTGCAACCTGCTGGGAGGGGAGCCAAGTGCCTGCTTGAGCCTGTAGCAGGGTTTTCTGGAGGAGCTAGGAATATGGTCACATCTACCTGTTTGTCCAGATCCTATCTTGGCCAGTATGACCTTCTAAGGCAGTGGGATTGTTTGGTTTCTGGGAGCTGGGTAGGTGGGATGAGATGGGTAGCTCCAAACCACATAGGTACTGGGAGCAGTGGTGGGAGTTGTGCCATTGCCTGTCAGGGCAGGTGCTGCCTGTGCCCCTGTAGCTGGAGCTGCTGGCACAGGAGTGTGCCTGACATGGGGCTGAGGTGCTGCCAGGGTCCTGAGAGGGAGAAGGCAGGCACACTCCAAGTGTGTTTGTGCCTGGGAGATTGTTCACATGGTGCAGGGCCCCAAGGGGAGGAAGCTTGTTTCCAAGGAAAATAAAGATTAAAGAGAATTAAACAAACTGGAGATGGGCCAAGGGAGGAAGAGATGCAGAGCAGATGGTGAGAAGGGGGGAAGCAGGGAGATTGGCGCAAAAGCCTTGGAGACCCTGGAGGAGAGAGGAAGGAAATGGCAGGAGGAGAGCACAGGGAAAGGCAGCATGGAGGCGGGGGGCAGACAGGGTGCAGTGGGGAAGCCAGACACCCAGGCCCTGGCATCGTCTCCTGTGTTTGCCCAACCTCCTGCTGGGACTTCCTTCTGCCCACTTCTCACCAGCATCTTTGTTCCTGAGATCTCAGTTTGCTGCTGAGGTCCAGGACAGGGAGGAAACCTGAGAATTGTCTCGGCAGAGAGCCTGATGGGAAGAAGGTGCAGCTGCACTGACCACTTCACCTCCAGCCCAAGAGGCACTCTGCTGGCCCCTGGGGCTGTGGCTCCTATCTTCCTTAGCCAAGCACTTGGGCCTTTTGGGGGCCACACCAGAGTGCAGGGCTCTGTGGGAGGGAGGAGACTCTCCAAACAGCAGGAAGAGACCTTCAGCGTGTCCCTGTTCCCTCCCACAGATGGGATCCACAGTGTGACAGCCCAGTGTGTCCTGCGGGTGATCATCATCACGGAGGACATGTTGGCCAACAGCATCACGGTGCGGCTGGAGAACATGTGGCAGGAGCGCTTCCTGTCCCCGCTGCTCTTCACCTTCCTGGAAGGGGTGGCCACTGTCCTCGCGACACCCAAGGAGGACATCTTCATCTTCAACATCCAGAACGACACAGACGTGGGTGGCACAGTGCTCAACGTCAGCTTCTCAGCCCTGGCACCGCGGGGCGGGCGCTACTTCAGCTCGGAGGAGCTGCAGGAGCAGCTCTACATGAAGCGCATGGCGCTGACAGGTGCCTCCATGCTGGAGGTGCTGCCCTTTGATGACAACGTCTGCCTGAGGGAGCCCTGCCAGAACTACATGAAGTGCATCTCTGTCCTCAAGTTTGACAGCTCAGCCCCCTTCATCGCCTCCCCCTCCACCCTCTTTCGGCCCATCCACCCCATCACCGGCCTGCGGTGCCGCTGCCCGCAGGGCTTCACTGGGGACTACTGCGAGACGGAGATCAACCTCTGCTACTCCAACCCCTGCCTGAACGGGGGCATCTGCACCCGCAAGGAGGGGGGATACACGTGTGTTTGCCGCCAGCACTTCAGCGGTGAGTGCCCGGAGCTGGGGACCACAGGGGAACGGGTCCCTTGGCATCGCTGGCACCATCGTGGGGTGCTCTTCCCAGCAGGGTGGTGGGTGTCAAAGGCCCTCTTTGCCCACAGAGGTCCAGCTCTGCTCCTGGCTCTCCATGTTTCCATGGCACTGGATGTGCAGGGCTGATGTTACCATAGAAACCTGTCTTGAAGGGAGGTGGCATGGAGGGTTGTTGGAGACCCTGGCCACCGTTTCCCAGCCTTTTTCACAGAGCAGGAGGACTGAGCTGGACCATGCCAGATTGGGGCACAGGAGACTCCTTCACCCTGCCCCATGCCAGTGGGGCAGTGGGCTCTGGGACCACTGGAAATGCTGGTTTCAGCCCATACCAGTGTTCAGCTGGTCTGGCAGAGGTGTTGAGCACACCCTGGCCCCATGTGTGGTGTGAGCTGCTGCCCACCCAAAACGGAAGGGGAGGCTGGGCCAGGCTGTGGGGGAATCCCACAGACAGCCAGTGTCTTGTTGCCACAAGTCCCCAACAGACTGTGGAGACCCATGCCTGGCCACTGGCAACCTGAATGTGAGGGAAGGTGGCCTGGGGGCTACTGGGGACAGAGCTCCTGCCTGGCCCTCCCTGCTGGAGGAGTGTGGCAGCAGATGGCTGCCTTGGAGCCACTCTCCTGTCCAGGCTCCTGGTGAGATAAGCAGAGTCAGTGGTAATTAACCCCCAGCATTTGAAGTGTGAACAGCCATTAGCAGAAAATTTAATGAGCTCGTTTCTCTGTCACTTCAAGCTGTCCCCTCATCCTCCTGGCACACTGCAGAGGAAGTACTGGGAGCAGGGCCCAGGGTGCAGGACTGCAGCTGAGCAGCTCCCTGCACGGGACAGGGGCTGGCCGGACACTGCACACTGAGCTGGCCTAGTGCATCCCTGTTACCCATGTCAGCAAGGTGCAAGGGTGTCCATCATCTGACTGGTTTCCACTTGGCTTTTGCTCCTATGTCAGGGCCTTCATGCAGGGTTAGGAGGCTCCTGGTGCTGTGGCCGAGATTTTCATAGCTATTAGCAGGGGAGCTCAGGGATGCTGGGCTGTCTCCACACCACAGAGCCAGACTGTGATGCCTGTCCCAGGCCTGTGTGGTGGCAGTGCCCAAGGAGGCACTCTCAGCATCAGCAGGACTTCCCTGGCTTGTCCTTGCTGCTCCATCCTTAAGACTGTTCAACCCAACTGTGACCAGTCCCCTCCTGTCCCATTCCTGTGCCATCCTGGGTTCAAACTTGCCCTTTCAGCTGGAGCTGGCATCCCATCCACTTTAGGGCAGGACTTTAGGGCTGGTAGTGGTAGCTGGCTTGTTGGCTGCTGTGGGGAACACTTGGATTGCAACTGGATTGTCACATCCTTTACCTGCTCCCAGCTACTCCACAGATTCCTGCCCCTTGGCTGCCTGTCCCCAAACCTGGGCTGAGTTCTGCACTCCCAACCCAAGGACTGGGTGGGTGGGTGGCTGTGTGCATGCCCCCCAACTGGGACATGTCCCAAGCTCCTTGTCTTGCTCCCACCAGGCGAGACCTGTGAGGTGGCCAGCCGCTCGGGGCGCTGCGTGCCCGGCGTGTGCCGCAACGGTGGCACCTGCACCAACGGGGCCGACGGCGGCTTCCGCTGCCAGTGCCCGGCGGGCGGGTTCCAGACGCCCCTCGGCGAGGTGTCCACGCGCTCCTTCCCACCACGATCCTTCGTCATGTTCCGGGGCCTGCGGCAGCGCTTCCATCTCACCCTGGCCCTCTCGTGAGTCCTTTCTTTCCTCTGCTGGGCACCAGCATCCACCAGTTCACCTGGCCCAGTTCTGGTGGCCTGGACCCCTGCCTTACCAGCTTTGCCTTGGCTGTGGGGCACCTTGGTGGCTTTAGCCACAGGGCTCTGAATCTGCACTGGCATTTCTCCCCTGGCATCAGCTCATCCCTTCCTTCAGTGCCTCTGCCCTTCCCTGCTGCCAGCTCTCTGCCTTCATGCCAGAACCCTTTGCTCCCAAAGCACCTGCTAGATCAAACTCCCAGCCCCTTCTCACCCTGCACCTGTGCTGGGATGCTGGTGTGTGCTACGGGAGAGCAGGGATCTTGGCGTGCTCCTTGTGCACACCCTGCCCTCCCACTTCCTCCCTTCCCAGGTTCAGCACCGTGGAGCCCAGTGGCCTTCTGCTCTACAACGGGCGCCTGAACGAGAGGCACGACTTCCTGGCAGTGGAGATCATCCAGGGGCAGGTCCAGCTGAAATACTCCACAGGTAGGCTTGGCCCCACCTGTTTTGGCATTTGTGCCATGGGAACTGCAAGAAGGCCAGCACTGAGCGAGGAGAGTGGGGTGCAGCCCTGTATGGAGCCTGTGCAAAGAGAGACAGGGTTGAGAGAAGTGTTGGTGAGCAACAGTGGATGGCACAGGGTACTAGGTGTGCCTCAGGACCCTTGCTAGGCTTAGGAGTGCAAGTGTAGCAGGGGATTGTGAGCACAAACCAGGCAAACCCTTCTGGGATGTCTGCTGCTGTTCTACCCTGTTATGTCCGTGCTTCACCACCTGCCCTGCCATAAGCCAGTCTGGAGAAGAGGATCTCTTTGGGAGGGTGTTCACTATCCTGTTGGTCACACCTCTGTCACCTTGTGCCATTGCTGAGCCTATCCTGCTGGTCCTGAGAAGTGTCAGGCTCAGCTTCCAGGAGTTAACAGCTGGGGCTTCCCTCCTGTCCTGGGTTCAGCACTCCTCTCCACTCCCCTGCACAAAGCTCCTGGTGGCCATCCTGTTACTCCTCTGGCTCTACTGGTCTCCTCAGGACAAGTCCCAGCAGCGAGGGGATGGCCACACAGAGCACCTGCTAGATCAAACTCCCAGCCCCTTCTCACCCTGCACCTGTGCTGGGATGCTGGTGTGTGCTACGGGAGAGCAGGGATCTTGGCGTGCTCCTTGTGCACACCCTGCCCTCCCACTTCCTCCCTTCCCAGGTTCAGCACCGTGGAGCCCAGTGGCCTTCTGCTCTACAACGGGCGCCTGAACGAGAGGCACGACTTCCTGGCAGTGGAGATCATCCAGGGGCAGGTCCAGCTGAAATACTCCACAGGTAGGCTTGGCCCCACCTGTTTTGGCATTTGTGCCATGGGAACTGCAAGAAGGCCAGCACTGAGCGAGGAGAGTGGGGTGCAGCCCTGTATGGAGCCTGTGCAAAGAGAGACAGGGTTGAGAGAAGTGTTGGTGAGCAACAGTGGATGGCACAGGGTACTAGGTGTGCCTCAGGACCCTTGCTAGGCTTAGGAGTGCAAGTGTAGCAGGGGATTGTGAGCACAAACCAGGCAAACCCTTCTGGGATGTCTGCTGCTGTTCTACCCTGTTATGTCCGTGCTTCACCACCTGCCCTGCCATAAGCCAGTCTGGAGAAGAGGATCTCTTTGGGAGGGTGTTCACTATCCTGTTGGTCACACCTCTGTCACCTTGTGCCATTGCTGAGCCTATCCTGCTGGTCCTGAGAAGTGTCAGGCTCAGCTTCCAGGAGTTAACAGCTGGGGCTTCCCTCCTGTCCTGGGTTCAGCACTCCTCTCCACTCCCCTGCACAAAGCTCCTGGTGGCCATCCTGTTACTCCTCTGGCTCTACTGGTCTCCTCAGGACAAGTCCCAGCAGCGAGGGGATGGCCATACAGTGTTATTGTGCCCTGGCAGCCAGCCTGGACAGAGGAGCAATCCCAGGGTGCTGGCTGCCAGTCCCAGGGCTGCAATTCTCCTTGGCCAGCTCCTGCTGCAGCAGGCAGAGGCTGGCGTGCTGCCTTTGTCTCCCGGAAGCCCTTCTCCATCCCTGCATGAGATGCTCATCAGCGGGAGGCTTGGAGCCTGCAGGAGGGGTGGGCACATCCAAGGGCTGTCCCTAAGTGTCCCATCATCCCTGTCCCTGCAGGAGAGTCCAGCACAGTGGTGAGCCCCTACGTGCCAGGGGGTGTGAGCGATGGGCAGTGGCACACGCTGCAGCTCCACTACTACAACAAGGTACGTGTGCCCCAGCTTTCCCCCCTGCGCATGGGTCTCTCTCCCCATGAGGCAGGAGGGAGTGGCTCTGGCTGTCCTGTTCCTTGGCTCTGCCCCATGGGGGAGGCTGTGGAAAGAAGACAGAGGTGTTTTTTAGCCTTTAGGGGTGGGTGCAATGGAGCAGACAGCCGGGCACAGGGGAGACTGACCCTCAGGACCACACTTGGAGGCTGCAGGGATGCTCTCCACACAGTCCATGTCCATCCTTTCCTTGCCACATGCAAGACCTTGGGTGACTGCATCTAGAGGCTTGTGTGCTACTAATACTCTGCCTTTGGTTCCAGCCCAAGGTCAGTGCCCTGGGAGTGGTGCAGGGCCCCTCCAAGGACAAAGTGGCCATCTTGACAGTGGATGAATGCGACGCCTCAGTGGCCCTGCAGTTTGGCAGTGAGATCGGGAACTACTCCTGTGCTGCAGAGGGTGTGCAGACCAGCTCAAAAAAGTGAGTTCTCCAGGACCTGCTGGGCACTGCTGTGGTGGGGAGAGGAGCAGGGGACTGGGGTGACCGGCAGAGTCAACCCTTGCCATCTGGGACCCGGGCTGTGTGTGCCTGTTCCTGAGGATTTCTGTTTCCCAGCCCCTTGTACTGAGGAACCAGCTAACCGGCCTGAGGTCGTAGTGGTTCTTGAAGCTCTGGGCTTCTGTTCTTGCAGGTCTCTGGACCTTACAGGTCCCTTGCTCCTTGGAGGGGTCCCCAACCTGCCAGAAAACTTCCCTGTCACTCACCGGGACTTTGTGGGATGCATGAGAGACCTGTACATTGACAGCAAACGCATTGACCTGGCCTCCTACATCGCCAACAACGGAACCACTGCAGGTACCGGTACCTCTGCTCCTGCCGGCCCCTGTCCTGGAATTGCTCCTCCTGCTCACAAAGCAGCACTGCTGGGCTCTAACAGCATTGTGGCAGCACAGCTGGAGCTGAACACTTTCCAGTCAGGAAAGGGGGCCTCCAGATGCCCACTAAAAAGCCAGTCCCCATCCCAGCTAATGTTCTGGGAATGTTCCCTGAGCCCAACTGGTCTGCCTGAGAGAGGCTGTGGGGAGTCAGCCCAGCTCTGCATTATCTTTCTTCTGGCATAAGGAGCAGCGACAGCCTTGATCCTCATCCCAGAGCAGGCAGGGCCTGTGTGGAGAGGCTGAGGGGCTGAGCTTGCCTCTCTGGCAGCC